ACACAATAATTGGCTGTTGAATGCTGGGTTTCTGATCCACTACTTGCTTTATGTGTAGTTTTTCTTAGGTTTGGTTAATGTCATGAGTTATTGTACCATCTCGAAATCGAATAAACTGATAAATGCTATGGCATAGTTTCGTCGTTCGATAGTAATTCGACTCTATCCTATACGAGATATCAAATGTACTCGTAATGTGTAACCATCGTCACAACGGCAATTCGACATAATTTCGTCCTTTGGCACTTTTAAATTTGAATCCCAATTTATTTGATAAAAAGAAATAAATAAATGAAAGTGCAGTATTTTAGAAACTATAATTAGTTAAATTTTAGGAAAATATAATATTTAATTTAAAATATGTTTAACGTGACCGACTGACTAAACAACTAAAAATGTTCAAGTTTTTTCCGTAGCAAACCTGATAATTCAAATAATTATTGAATATTCAATTTTTATTTATATAAATTCAACAAATTGGATTAGGTAATATGAGTTGATTTTCTATTATGACAACTTAATGAAATAGTAGCAGATCCATTAATTGCTTCAGTGGAAGGATCGTGTTGGACGGATAGGGTCTACGTGGTCCTGTCCAAGAAAATTTATCCATAAAAAATTTTGAAAATATCCCTTGATGGAAATATTAATGCTTGCAAGAGCATAAAAAATAAAAGAACATTTTTCACTGACGTTATAAGTTAAAAGACGATTCCATTGACAGAACGTTATTTTATATGAAATATAACGTTAAACAAGAAGTGATCGCATAGCGCAGTGGATTAGCGCGTCTGACTTCGGATCAGAAGGTCGTGGGTTCGACTCCCACTGTGGTCGCCATTGTTTTTAATTTGTTTTCCTTTAAATTTTTTTTTTATTTTACTCCCACTTTGGTTTCCTATACTTCTAATTTCTACACCTTGATCACTTTATTTCATTGTTATGTTCAAAAGGAAAATTCTGCCTCTAATTTAGTGTTTAATTATCTCGTATCTAATATCAAAATTTTAGTATTGACACATTGCAATAATTTAATAGAATATCGATATTAAAATCCACTTTCATAGTCGATTTCATGCATAGAAAAAATCATATATTTTTCTTTTTCTTTTTCATCCAGCTATCAATTTTTTTTTTTCCTTTTTGGATTTTAATGTGTGATAAATAAAGTACAAATAATTCACACATTTTTTGCATCTAATTTAGGGTTTCTCTCGAATCTAAAATCAACTCAATTGAAAACGTGGAATTTTCATAATGACACATTGCAATAATTTAATAGAACATCGGCATTAAAATTCATTTTTAGTCGATATGATTTCATGCATAGAAGAAATCTGTGCTGTTTGATTGACATTTTTTTCATGGAAAACATTTTCCTACTTTCTCGTGATGATAGCTTCCTCAAAATCAACGAATAGATTTTCTTTGGGGTTGAATTTTATTTTTCAGAAAATTCCCTCTCTCTTTCTCTCTCTCATCTACCCACCAATAGAAAAGAAACAAGTATAATATTTTTTAGGTTGAGAATTAAATTAATCAAAAATATTTAATTGACAATTTTTATGGAAATAAGTTATATCCAATTGAATTACCTAAATTTTATTTTCTTTTTATGCAAATTTGATGCTTGCAATAAAAAACGCCCTTATTTCAATTCGGCCAATTATTCAAAATTTCCATAATTATAGCAAGGCATTATTCATATTCTATCTCAATTATGGTCATAAAACAAATTGGGTAATTAGCAGAAAACGTCCTCATTTTTCAAAGTTTTGTGAAAAATGTTCACGCCTTTCGTTTTGATAGATTTCATCCTCACTTTTACTTTTTTTTGCACAAAACATTCTTTCATCAACTTCTGGTTAAAATGCTCCGTCAAATAAAATAAATGGACATGTTCTTTTCAAAATGCAGGTGGAAGATTGTCCAAACCAATTTGTTCTTCACTATGACTTCATTCCCTCCTTCTTCTTCAAATATTCATAACTAAAAAAGTAAAATAATATGAAAAAATTTGTACAAAATTATTTCATTCAATAAATAAAGGAAAATGACGCAAAGGACTGCATCGCTGGTTAAAAAGAATCATGGTTATTGTAATGCTTGATTGCTCAAAAAATTTTGGAATGGTAAATGAAGAAAATGAATGTGTGGTTAATAAACTTGAGATGACTATCCCCATTTACGAAGGGTGTATATAAGGGGTAAAGTAAGAAAACTAAGTAAAATGTGATTCTATGAATGAACAATACATAAGATGGAGAAGACGATGAAAGATGAACATATATTCTTCTCATTTTAGAGTAAAATCAAATTGGTGGTAACAATTCCTATTTTTACATTGTATTTGTGAAAAAATTCCTATCTTTACATTATCTTTGCGCAAAACATGCCTACCTTTGTTAAAAATTGTGAAAATTGCCCCTAGTTTTGAGCTTGGTTGTTGAGTACTGGTTTTGTAGAGTAGGAACAGTTTTTACAATTTATAACAAAAGTAGGGATGTTTTGCGCAAATACAATACAAAGATAGGGATGTTTTTCGTAAATACAATGTAAAGGTAGGGATTATTACTACCAACTTGATTTTATTCTAAAATGGGAAGCATACATGTTCATCTTTCATCATCTTATGTATTGTCCATTCATAGAATCACATTTTAATTGGTTTTCTCACTTTATCTCTTATTTACACATTTCGTAAACATGAAATGGGGATGGTTATCTCAAGTTTATTAACTACATATAACATATTCATTATCTTCTTACTTCATTTCAATTTTTTTTGAGCAATCAAGCATTACAATAACCATGATTTTTTTCAACCAAAAATACAATCATTTGCGTCATTTTCCGTTATTTATTGAATTAAATAATTTTGTACAATTTTGTTTTTTTTTATATTACTTTACTTTTTTAGCTATGAACATTTAATGGAGGGAGTGAAGTCACAATGAAGATCAAATTAGTTTGGATGATCTTACTCCTGCATTTCGAAAAGAAAATGTTGATTTTATTTTATTTGACGGAGCATCTTAACAAGAGTTGATAGAATGATATTTTTGCGCAAAAAAAGGTAAAAGGAGGGTGAAATTTGTCAAAAACGAAAGATAGAGACATTTTCTACAAAAATCTTGAAAGGCAGGGACTTTTGTGCTAATTACCCAAACAAATTCCTGGTTAGGACTGTACTGTGAAAATTTCCATCTACCCCGTCGTTTCACGCACACGGAGCTGCTGTTGTTTATTCACACAAATCATCCCCCACTCCACTCACACCTTTCACCACCGCCTTCTTCAAATACATGAACCCCACAAACTACAGCTATAAATTATGGCATACATAATTTCTCTTTCATAAAAAATGTGTTGCTTCTCCTCTTCATTTACTTCACCATTTCACCCAACGACTTTTAGATACAATAGCAATTGCATATATTAAACGCTATTTTTTTCTGGAAGGATCCGGAGGTTGTCTCCCCTCAGGTAGTTCGTATTAGAGGAAGAATTCTGTATCTTTTTGATTTGTTTGTTTGGAAATTTATTTGTTGATTAGTGTACCCTTTTGGGTCGGAGCTCAAATTCTTGAATGTGGAGTGCGGGTTTTCGTCTATTTTTTCCTTTTTCTTTGATGACGGTTGACTTTCTAAGGTTTTGATTCGTGTTCTGGGATGTGGGTTTTTCTGGAATCAATGGAATTTTTTTTTTTATTTTTTAAAATTTGTTGAAGAATATTGGTATTTGGGATCTACCCGACCTGAGCGTTCTTGATAATTATGTATATTTTTTAACTGATACGATATCAATCTGGGTTTTTTATTGGCTTTGTCTATTGGTTTGTGATTGATAAGTAAGTTCGAATTTTGGAAATAATGGAACACGGTGCTTTAATTTGAACTTCACTGATGCTTGATGGATGAATAATTTCTGCTCCACATTTCTGTATCGTTTAGATATATTTTCCTGAGGAATGGAAGAGTTAGAACTTCTTGTTTTAATCATTTCTTTGGATAAACTAGTCTCTGCTAATGATAGGATTTTGGATTTAACATGCCTAAGAAAGGTAAAAAGTAATTAGTCTGTTAATAGGAGCTGGAGCAATTCAGTGTACTATTCTTGCTGTGTGGTATATTTTCAGGGCTTTGGTAATGTTGCATCTTGCAAGAATTTTTCTCATGTTTTTCATAGCTTTGTTCTCTCCTTTCATTTTAATCCCAATGTCTCATGGCTTATATTCTTCTTGATCAGCTCTAGGAATGAAAAAGACATCGTATTACAATGCTGTGGCCCAAGTGCATGATCAGTGGCCTATTAAGAAAGCACTCACACTTTCTGATGTAGATATCACCCACCCATTTCTCACATTGTCTCGGCAACAAGTTGAAACTCATATAGTTGTGTATATGTCTCCTGAACAGAATGAACAATTAAGGGCTGATGGCCAAGTAAGTTTAAATGCCCAAGATGATGACACTGGCGAAATGCATGCCATGAAATTGAAGTGGCGAGGGAGCTATTATAATCTCATTGGAAAGTGGGGAAAAATTGTACGTGGTAAGGGACTTGATGTTGGGCAAGAAATTCAACTACGGTGGATTGGAGGGTGCTTACACTTCTCAGTTCCGCAGCATCAGGTTGTTGTAGTACCACCAGTTCGACCAGTTGCAGCTCCCTTGGTGCATGACCACTGGCCTATTAAGAAGGTCCTGACATTGTCTGATGTGGATATCAATCATCCGTTTCTTCTGTTGCCTCGTCGTTCAGTTGAAGATCATATTCTTGCACATTGGGTGCCACAAGAACGAGAAAGATTAAGAAAGGAAGAACAGGTGGATATAAATGCCTGTGATTATGATACGGGTGATATGCATGTGATGAAATTGAAGTGGCGAGGGAATTACTACAACCTCATTGGGAAATGGGCAAATATAGTTCGACAGAAAGGACTTGGTGTTGGCAAGGAGATCAGATTACGCTGGTCTAATAAATGTTTATACTTTTCTGTTCTGCAGGAGCATTATGTTCCAACACCATCAGCACGGGATAATTGGCCTATCAAGAAGGCACTCACATTATCTGATGTTGATACCAATCATCCATTCCTTACTTTGCCAGGCAAAGCAGTCGAAGATCATATACTCTTTTACTGGACAGAGCAAGGTCGGGAACAGTTAAGAAATGAACGTCAAATTAGTCTTAATGCTAGGGACAATGACACAGGTGACCTGTACGTGATGAAGTTGAAATGGCGTGGAAGTTATTATAATCTTATTGGGAAATGGGGTAAAATCATTAGAGAGAAGAGGCTCCATGTAGGAACAGAGATCAAATTGCGTTGGGACAGTGGATGCTTAATCTTTTCAGTTCCCAATGATAGGGTTGTTTGATGTATAGATAGGTCCAAGATACACCAAAGTAATTATGGTTTCCGAATTGTTATTCAAATTTGATACATGAATTTTCATTTTATAAGGTTAATTTTCTAATGCTTCTTCTGCTCTTATTTATTATGACGACAAGAATTGGCCTGTGAGAACCTAATAATTTGTGTGTGAATAACTGGTTCATGGGACTTGCTGGAAGTTACAAATTCAACAATATGAGCATTGAGCAACTTATTAGATTGTTTGCTGATTCTTGTGAATCAAACATTGGTGAGAAAAACTTGGATCTGTTCTATAGTTTTATGACTCCTACTCTTGTTTGATTATTGTAGTTTCTATTTTTCCTGTAAATGAACTTGGAAGTTAGATCTATTTTTGTTGTTTAGAGCTTGCTTGGCCAAGCTTAAATAAAACTAGAAGTTACTTCAAATAACATTTTTGTTTTCAAACTTGTTCTTTTATGTTACTAATTTACTAAAATGTAGGATTTTTACGCGTGGCTTGCTAAAATAATTAATAACCTTGCTGATGGATTTGGAATGAGCTTTTGGTAAGTGACTAACATTAAAGTTTAGTCTTGTCTTCTGCAGAATATTGACTTCAGATTCTATTGGTAATATTTTCGGCTTCTTGCGTACTGGAGATATGATGAATTATCCCATCCGTGGTTGAGAATCAACTTTCTTTTTCTGGAAGATGGGATCCCATTCTGCTGAGATAATGAATTCTTGGTCAGTTGTGCCAGTGCAAGTCCTATGCCGATACCAATACTGGCATTTGCCCTGGAATTTCCCACTGCAGCCAAGAACCTGGATTTGGACACTTGCAGACAAATGTGAGATCCTCAGGAAGTCTGCTTCTCTAGCAAAAAATGGAACCAGCTCAAAGTTGAGTACATCTGCCATTAATTTGGAAGTTATATACTTGTGTACATGGTATCCTGGAAATACTTGGATTTTTTATGGTTTAGAATGCCAGTGGGCGAAAGATCTGTCGTGACTGAAGGTTGTTGTTTAGCTTCTGACTCAGGAGATGAGTAGAAACAATCAGTTTTGAAGCCAAGGATCAATGGTACATCTCGATTTGTCTGTTACCTTGTGATTATTCTTGCTCGTGGAAAAGCTATTAGCTGTTATGTCGACGTTTGCTTTTATTTGCTGTCTGAATCTGAAGTCCTTTTTCAGAGTCGGGCGATGATTTGTTGGTGGCATCCATTGACATCTATAGATGATGATTCTCTAACAAAATCTCGGAAGATGCCTCAATTGTTATCTGGTCAAGACCAGATGAAGGTTGTCTATGTTGGACTGTTCAGTTTCATCTTGCAATAATGCTCAAGATGCATTAATACATTATTTTGCTTTGCATTGTAAAAGAGAATACCAATATTTACTGTGCTCAACTTGGAGGAAAACCTATTAATTGTGTTTACAGTCCAGTGTGTAATATCTTAGACCATCTCTAACCCTATACCAAAACTTAAGGTAAATTTTGCACCATTTTATATCAATTTTTGCACCAAATTAAAAATCATCTTGAATTCATTATACCAAATAAACAATGTATAATTATTTTCTTCAATTTTTTTATATGAAAAATTATTTATTTATTTCATTTACTAGTACATAAATTATTAAATAAATAATTGCATTTCATTAACGGAATTTGTTAATAAATTTAATGAATATAGTACAATTAATAGAAAAATCACAACTAATAAAATATTGAGTAATATTAATAATAATAACAAAAATAAGTAATCATAGCATTAAAAAATAATAATTACAGTAATAATTAATTAAAAATTAAAATTTGTTTTATAACAAGAAAGTAACATAAATATTCTTTACAAAAGTTGGTGCAAAATGGGAAAAATGGGAATTTGATGCGAGGATTGGAGGTGGCCTTATCTAATTGGGTAATGCTACATGTACATAATTTTTTTTACTTAATCATTTATCTACTACTCACAATAGTGGGTAGGGACCACATTTGAGGATTTTTATATTCACATAGGGCCCATGTGCATTGTGAGGAGGGGGGCGGGTGTTTTATCTAATTTGGGCTAGAGTATCAATAAATAGAGGGGCTGGAACAAGAAATTTCATATATATATATATATATATATATATGGGCTAATTTCACAAACGGTCACTGAACTTAAAAAAAAAATACAAAACGGTCACTGAAGTCTAAAACTTTCATAAACGGTCACTTAAATTTTGGGCGGTTTCACTAATGGTCACTTAAGTTTTTAAAACTTTCACAAATGGTCATTTCAGGTACCTAAATGATTCTAATTCAAACTTAAGGACTGAAACACGTGACCATACAATTTTTTAAGGACCTCAGGTAAAAAAATTCAGTTTCTCATTTTCCTCCTCCCTTCAATTTCCGGTGGCACTTCAAGCATTTGACCCCAAAATTTGACAAGCTGGTGATGTAATTTCTGCAATTGAAGGGATACCCAGTGTTTTTTTATGATGAATTTCAGTTCCTCATGTTTATTTATAGGTTGGATAAGATTTGAGTGCTCAATTGAAATCGTTTCGAAAGCCATTCACACGTAGAAGATGCATGAACAGAAATTGGCTGATTCGAGATAAATTGGTGAGGACCTATATGTGCATCTTGTTCGCCATGATCAGTAGAAGGTAATGGTGGTGGTGAGAGACCGTAATTGTTGATGCCGGCGCCGGAAATTGGAGAGGAAAGTTCGTTGCCAGCTGCCTTCGAACTGGTATCATTTCGATTTTGATTGAAATTGTTTTGTGATGATATGAGACCATGTATTTGTTCGTTTTGGGGAGTACTAACAGCCTATGATGGAGTTTTGATATGGGTGATGGTGGGTTGGCCGGAATTGGAAGAAAATCGTACATGATTACAGTTTTTTTGAACCCGAATTTCATTTCATTTTTTATGTGTTTTGGTTGATTATTGATATAGGATTGTGGAGGGGGATGAGGAGGTGTTTTTGGTGTAAAAATCTGGTGGTTTATCCGGCGGTAGGGGGCTCAATTTTGGCCTTGAACCACCGGTGTCGTAGAAGGAGAGTGAACATGGAAGTGGGAGGAAAATATTTTGCACTATGGTCCTTAAAAAATTGTATGGTCACGTGTTTCGATCCTTAAGTTTGAATTAGAATCATTTTGGTACCTGAAGTGACCATTTGTGAAAGTTTTAAAAACTTCAGTGACCATTAGTGAAATCGCCCGAAACTTAAGTGACCGTTTATGAAAGTTTTAAACTTTAGTGACCGTTTTGTAGTTTTTTGTTAAGTTCAGTAACTATTTGTGAGGAAAATATTTTGCACTATGGTCCTTAAAAAATTGTATGGTCACGTGTTTCGATCCTTAAGTTTGAATTAGAATCATTTTGGTACCTGAAGTGACCATTTGTGAAAGTTTTAAAAACTTCAGTGACCATTAGTGAAATCGCCCGAAACTTAAGTGACCGTTTATGAAAGTTTTAAACTTTAGTGACCGTTTTGTAGTTTTTTGTTAAGTTCAGTAACTATTTGTAAAATTAACCCATATATATATATTTATTTATTTATTTTCGTAATAATACACAAAGTAAAAAGCTCAATGTTTTCCATCCCCAAATTTAAAATAGATATTGTCCTCAATATCTTAAAATATAAATATACATAAACGGATGGCAAGAAAATGAAGAAAATACTCTCTGAATTTATTAGGAGATGGTGTCTGAGATGGCAGGAAGTGCAATAGCTAGTAGATTGCCCTCTCAATTTCGTTGTCCCATTAGTCAATGTTGGTTTGAGTGTTTTGCGATCTCATATTCCTAAAAAATGAGCAAAAATAAAACATCAATGATCAAATAGCCTGGAACAAGTAGTACTTAGCCCAAACATCTCATAAACCAATAATAAATTGAAGGGCCTAAAGGAAACGGGGTATGGATGATGACACCAAAATAAGACTAAACTAAACTATCTTATATTTTAAAAACATAATAAATAAAAGGAAAAGAAGATTGTGTTGCCTGCCAATAAGCGTTTATTTATAGTCATTAACTTAACTTTGACAATCTGTATCATGGAATGTTGAAAAAGCTTTTTATGCCTTACTTAGTTTGCTTCTTTTGACTTTGTTTCACTTTTTGTTGATTCTCCAAAATTTAACATTGCTTCCTTTAATGTGATATGACTTGCCTATTTCACTCAATTCGAAATCAATTATGTAGACTTATTTTCTTCGTCTGACTTAATCACAAATTCAATTGTTGGGCTATCGATGAAGTCGAAAGAATGTGCATTAATTTCATCTTTATTGATTGCCACTTATTCGTTTGATCCCTTTGTAATTAATCTTTCTTCCTCTCCATGCTATTTTTCAATAATTGACATCTCTTCAGATTGAATAGTCAGTTCCTAGTCTAAATCCACGGACAATGGTAATTCTTTCCTTTCAATTTTTTAAAGTGGATATAGTCCACATTTTTGTTCATTCATCTTTGCAAGTTTATTATAATATTTCACAAGTATCCCTTTGTTCAACATGGACGTACCATCTCGCACAAACATAATGTCCTCATCCTAATCTGCAGGTACATAATCACCCACAACCATGTACTCTTCATTAGATCTGTTAATTGCTTGTTTTCAACATCTTAAATATTGTTGAAATCGCAAGAGGGCTAGTGCATGTATATAAGCAGTAACCAATATAATACATCCTACAGTAGAACTTTTTTTCTACCTTACTAGCTTAAAATCTTGCATACATTATTGAAATAGTAGGTGAAAAGAATACCAAATACAAGAGAGATCAAAATTATAGTGGGTAATCTAAAAATAAAAGAACAATTGAATCCAATATCAATTAATCAACTATAGTTAAACAAATTATTCCCCGAAAAGTTGTCAAAAACTTGTTCGGATAAAATTTGCAAATGTACGGGATCGTTGACAAGTAATATACTTTGTGAGTTAAAGTATCATTCACGGAGAATAATTATAATTATAGTTTACTAGTTATAATCAAACTTGATTTAATGTAAAACAAAAGAGATTTATTTATGTTTTTAGTCTAATTTAAACTACGAAAGTAATAGAAGATTGATTTTTATCCAAATATGAGATGAATGTATTGGATTTTAGAATCTCTCTATTGATGTCTAGTTTTAATTCTCGGCTTATACAAGTTAGCTTCATTAATGTGTTTATGACAATTAATATATTATTAATATCTAATATTCTCTTCCAGAATACATTAAATCTATGCTTAACGAGACCCGATCATATTTCTAATTTGAAATTCATATACAAGTACACATTCAATTATGGGATTATCTCACACAATTGCACGTCAGAAACATTTTTCATAATATCTATTGCCTGTGTATTAAATACGTAGTGTTTAACTTATTGTAAATCCCCCAACGAGACCCGATCATATTTCTAATTTGAAATTCATATACAAGTACACATTCAATTATGGGATTATCTCACACAATTGCACGTCAGAAACATTTTTCATAATATCTATTGCCTGTGTATTAAATACGTAGTGTTTAACTTATTGTAAATCCCCCAACACTATAAATAAGTAACTAGTTATTTAAATGATGGCTAGACATTCAAACAACACAAGATTCAAACATATTTTAATCAAGAACTAAAGATTTAACTAAAAAGTGATAAATTTTGAATTAAAAACTATAAATGAACGATTTCATTATTCATCCAATACATAAAATTATTTAGTCTAGCATTGCCATATGGAAATTACACAAAAGAAAACAACATTACTTGAGCAAGGAATGTATTGAAGAACTTGAAAACTCAAAATCTTCATTTTAATCTTCGACTCAAGCTTTGAAATCTCCTGTCTTCAATGTAAATTCTCTCTTTTATGCTCAAAGTATGATAAAGATTAGTTAAGACGTGTTCTGAATGTACCTCCCAATATAGAGAGTATAAAAGGATTGCATTTCATTGTTACTCAAAAAGAAAAAGAAACAATTTATTTATTTATTATTATTATTTTTTTAAACCTTGCCCAACCATTGTATAAATTGTGCTCAAGTATGGTAGACTTGGTTAAGTCTCTGACGCTCAAAAAAGCTTTTGTGCACATGCATGAATGTAGAACCATGCCCACGCATGGTGTAATCCATGGAGGCTGATACTTTGCAGTTTGGTCCCAAAAGTTTTCTATGTGAGCTTTTTGATCTTTTTTTTGACAAATTTTTCATCCGTTAGACTTCTTTTCACATCCAATCCTCATTTCATTTTGATGTCCGAAATAACTTTTGCATTGTTGCATTTCAGTCCTCACACTTTGAATTTCATCTTTTTTTCCTATAATTTTAGCTTGTTTTATCCAATTCTTTATCAAATCCTTGAGTGTTACTTATTAAACACAATATACAATTAATTAGACTATATTTCATCAAAAGAACTATA